TGGAGCCCACGGCTTCGATGTACTTGGTAATGGCATTCGCTAGGCCTTCGTATTCTGATACAGCTTTTTGATTCGCTTTGTAATGGCATTCGTTAGGCTTCCCGACTTCTGATATGTGCACCGCCAGGTGAACTTTTAAAATCTGGCTTTGTTGGGGGTGTCATGGCGATCTTTGCTTCAATGTTCGCGGGGTAATGCCACCTTCCAGAGCGGAAGGTCGACCAATTCGGCTTAGGGTCGAGAGCTCGGAGTATTTAGGTCCTAAACCCTGAACCCTATAAACCNNCCCTAAACCCTAAACCCAATTTAGGTGGAGCAGAGATGGGACTCTGGTTGCCCTCGTTGCTTCTTTTCCCGGCCTGCTCAGGGTTTCCAAAAAACCCTTCCATAGAAAGCTTTCCAAGGAACAGAGGGGTCACGTGCCGTTTAGAATGCTAAACATAAGCCCTAAACCCTAAACCCTAAGTGTGTGTGTGTGTGTGTGACTATGCAAGTGCAGTGCCCATCCTTCCACCCTTGTGACTCCAAAACGAGACTCCAAGTTCTAGACGACAAATCCGCAGATTCGTGCACTCCGGTGCCTGATAAGTCTTACGTAACCAGCCGAAACCCGAAACCCTAAACCCTGCACCCTACATGAACCGCGACTTCCGAGTGAAGACAACGAAAGCCAAGCATCCGCAGAGGTCTCGGGGCCAGTACTGCAGAGGCCTACAGAGACGAGTTTGCAGTGGTTTCGATCTTTGGAGGGTTTCGAGTTAACTGTTCGACAATCCCTAAGCCCTAAACCCTTAAACCCTGAAGCCCTAAACTTCAACCCGTAAGCCCTAACCCCAATCCAGAAGCCCCGCTACATAAGTCCTACACCCGTTCTGGTGTGTTTAGGACTTCCCTAAACCGATGTGGCCGCAACTCCACACCCACATGGCAACTCGGTTCGAGACTTGGAGGTTCTTGGTTGAATGCCTTTTTTTCCACGCTGTTTCTGAAGCAACTGAAGGGCTTGAGGGTTTAGGGTGTTGGGGTCTGCAGGGTTTGTGGATTCTTGGTGTTTGCGGGTCTTGGGCTAAGTTGTTGATTCTCTGCTAACTTCAAACTTGTGTTTAGGACTGCAAGGTTTCGGCTGCAAGGTTTGGCGTCTAAGAGTGTCGTTCGGGCTTGCGAGTCCGTTGGTTCCTTACCAAGGTACCCGCAGGTGATCGTTCGGTTGTTTCGGGGGGTTGCGGACTATACCCTAAACCTTAAAACCCCTGAGCCCAAAGATCTGCATGTTGGAAGAAGGATCCTCAGTCTATGCATTCCGGAGTCCCCGAGGCTGTAGTAGGGGTGTAGGGTATAGGGCTTGGTATTTAGGGTCTAGGGCTTGGGATTTAGCGTTCAGGTTGTGCGCAGGCAAAGTTGTGCGCACTGAAGGATAGCGGTTTAGGGTTTTGGGTTTTGGGGTTTGGAGTCTCGGGCTTTAGGGTTTAGGGTTTAGCTCGGAGCAGGAGTGCTGTTTTCTTGTTTTCGGCGGCAGGTTTAGGATTTAAAGCAAGATCTGCCTGAATTTTTGGGGCTTGGGGCTGTTTGTTCTGTTTCCCATCTAATCTATCTAGAATGCAGGCACGTCAGTGAGGGCAAACCGGGCTATTATTAATTTTGCGCAGTCTCATGAGGATGCCCTCAGTTAGAAAAGCCTTCTTACGATGGTGTACTGTACTGGGTCGGGGAACCCTAAACCCGCCCCGCACGCTGCATTGCGTATGGAGGGTTCGGCTGTGGCAGGCAGGAGCTTTTGGTGGCTGCCCAGCCGCTGGGTTCCTTTCGCATGACATTACCTTCAAGAAGGGTTTAGGGTTTAGGGTGAAGGGTTTAGGGTTTAGGGTTTAAGGTTTAAGGCTTAGGGTGTAGGATCTAGGGTGTAGGGTGTAGGGTGTAGGGTTTAGGTTGTAGGGTTTAGGGTGTAGGGTTTTAGGGTCTAGGGTTTAGGGTTTAGTAGGGAGGATCACTTGAGGATGAAACTGTGCCGAGGACAAGACACAGTCCTGAGTCGAAAGTCGGCAGCAACAGCCAGGCAGACACTTTGAGGGCCCAGAATACGAGTTTAGGGTTTTGGGTGTAGGGTTTAGGGTTTAGGGGTTTCAGTCCTACTTTGAGTTTGCATTCCTAAGATTTCCGCAGATGTCAGCAATGACCCTGCAGCAGCAGTGGCCACCCTTGACATCGCGGATGATACAGTGCTTCGTGGGATGCGTCTGACGAGGATGTGCTGCGCCCAGCACGGCACGTCGATGAAGTTGGTGTTGGAGAGACATCCTAAACCCTACACCCTAAACCCTAAAACCCCAAACCCTAAGAGGGACCACGCCCCTTGTTGGTGGCTAGCCTCTCAAACCATGAGCAGAATAGTCTTCGTATTGATCTCATACTCCGTAAACGTCCACAAGAAAAGGTAGGATCCTTGGCAAACCCCCTGGGTTTAGGGTGTAGGGCTTAAGGCTTATAGGGTTTAGAGTTTAGGGTTTAGGGCTTAGGGTTTAGGGGTTTAGGGTGTAGGGTTTAGGGCTTTGGGTTTAGGGTTTGGGATTTCCGAAGTAGTACCCTAAACCCTAAACCCTAAACCCTAAACCCTAAACCCTAAACCCTATGGACCAATGGCCTCAAGGCCCTCGTGCCCGGCCCGACGTTGCACTTCCAACCACGGCGAGGCGATCGAACCGAAGCCATGGATGATCGTTCGGGATTCTGCTGCAGGCTTTCAAAGGGTTTAGGGATTAGGGGTTTAGGGTTTAGGGGTTTAGGGTTTAGGGGTTTAGGGTTTAGGGTTTAGGGTTTAGGGTTTTTGTTTTTGAAGAACCCTGAACCCTAAACCCTAAACCCTACTTGGACTGGGCGAGGACTGGTACTGGTACCTAGTACTAAGTAGTTCGGGGCTTTGGCTTTAGGGCTTAGGGGCAAAGAAAATTAGCATTCAAGCCTTCAAGGTGTCAGAGAGAGAATTGCATGAAGTGTTGCTCAGCTTCTCACAAACCTAGAACCGAGCTGTGTGCCATTTACTTATTAAGGGAGCAGTCTGGATCAGGGAGGTCAGACAGTGTTCCATGCGAAATATATCGAGGCTCTGGTCCAGTTTTCGCCTACTTGTATGATTCCTCTCTTTCCCTAAGGGTCCATATGGGTAGTTGTCAAAATTATGGTCCCTTTTGGGGTACCCTAAATAATAGGTGCCGTATTATAATAAGGACCCAAAAAGGGACCATCAGTTTGACAACCACCCATATATACTACTATTATGGAATTAGGCCCCCAAAGCCATAATGTGAATGGTCTTTTGGGAAAGAATTCCATAGTGGTAGTATATATGGACCCTCTGGGTTTGGGTTAACATAGACCCCAAACTTTCAGCACCTGAAAATCCGATTTCAGGCCTATGTTATGGGGTTACGGTTTAGGGATGTATATACAGACCAACCTACGATCAATCAAGTCTTGACGTTGTGTGGTCTGTTGCGAACTTCGGCTGCTTGCTTTCCTGAAGTTGCCAGATAAATCCATGAACACCCAACCCCAACGCCCCGAAACAAGTGCAGAACCCTGTGAATCCGTGATGTTTAAGTCCTTGGGTTAAAGTTTGAGACTTCGGTTGCGGTGTTTACGGAGATGGGAAGATTTTGTTGCGTTACGATAATCGGATCCTTTTGCTCATTTTGCTCAGGGTGCCGATTCGGGTCCGTGTACGTATCTTACATCCAAATCACCCCAGACACGGCCCCAATCAAACTCCAGCCCCTAAAACGCCTTTCCCTAACCCTGAACCCTAAACCCTAAACCCTATAAACCCCTAAGCCCTAAATCCTAGACCCTAAACCCTAAGCCCTCAAGGTGACTACCTTCTTTTCCGGCGCCCATCGCCATCCTCCAAGCCGCCACTCTCCACGCCCATCGGAGCTTTGGCAGATACCAGAAATCCTACATAGATTCCCTAAGCCCTAAACCGTCTTAGGGTTGTGTCTACGATTTGGGATCAACGCACTGCTACTTATGTACTTGTACCTAGAACACACATGGTTGAATTCTACCCCTTGAGGCCTTGACCCTCATCCCTAACTCCTAAACCCTGAACCTTAGAATCCCTAAACCCTACCTAAAACAGTCTCCATCGTAGTTTCTTATTTGGTTTAGCCTATTATAGGTTATGCGTCCTATAAAGTAGGGTTTAGAATTTAGCGTTTAAGGTCTAGGGTGTAGGCTTTGGAGGTTTTGTGGCTTTAGGTGTTTCGGGCTTCAGGGTTCTGCCTGTTTTCGGTTTAACCACGTCTACATCTAGGATTCAGGATCCTAGAAGGTAGCCCCAAAACCGGAACGACAATGAGCACCATTTGTAGAGTCTCGGGCTTAAGTTGAGTTCGGTTTTTGGATGGTCTAGACTTGGGTTGGGCAGAGGGACTCGAGGTAGGTGAACAGAAGGGTTTGGGGTTTGAGGGCGTTTACGGTTGTGGGTGAACATGACAACTCCAGCACGGGCATCAGCGCGCGATCCTAAACTCCAAGCCCAGCCATCAAAGGATCGGTTCCGACGCCAGCTGCCCGCGGGGTGTATGTTTGGCCAACGGTGCATCTCAGCTGCAGGGGGAGTTACAAGCATCCGGGGCCTTGGGCTTAGGGTTTGGGCTTGAGGGCTCAGGGGGCTTGCAAACACCCTCAGCATGTCCCCGCCCCCTGCATAGTGCCCGAGGACATCTGTAGAGGGAGATACGGTCTTTAGAGGGGTGTGGGTACGAGCCTGTAGAGGCAGATAAGCTCTTTCGAGGGTGTTGGTCCTGGGGCTGTGGAGGCGGATAGGCTCTCCGGAAGGGTGTGGGGTGCGTAGAGGGCTCTTGAGCGGTGCATCCCAGAGTACGGTGCATCCCAGAGTACAGGTGTAGCACAGTTAGCAGAGCAGTACAGCAGTAGTACAGCAGTATTTAAACACAGTAGCACGTTTGTATAGTAGTACAGAAGTAGTGCACGAGTATGCCATGGCATTATAGTATAGTAGCTTGACAGGATATTCAGCAGTACATTAGTAGTACAGTAGTGCAGTACAGTAGCACAGCAGTAGTACATGAGCACCACAGCGCAGTAGTAGAACACTCGGGGGGTTTGAGGGTACCCAGAGCTGTTTGCCTCGAAACCAAACCCCGATCACTTCAAGATACTATCCGTATCCGAGACCAAACACCTTTCATGTCGGAGACGGCTTCCATCATACACTCAACTTCCCCCAACAACCGACCAAGCTTGAAACCCGCTAGACTGAGTTCTTTCCTGCCTTTTGTTATCATGCAACTAGTCCAGATTCAAGGTTGAGAAATTGCAGAAAGGAAACTGCCAGAACCAACGGTTCCGGTCTTTTTGTTGGAGGACTCTCCAAAACCTGCTAAATCTTGACCAAGCGCTGCAAAAAGTGCACTATGGAATATGCTTCATACCTTGTGCCACATCATGCCATGAAGCTCCCATTTCTTTTGCGCCGAAGGCACGGCGATGTGGTCGTGGGGCCAACTAATGTGAAACAGGACTCCTGAGCGCATGCCTGGCTCTTTGGGCAGAGGGCCCAAAAGGTCCCAGGTTAGGGCTTTGTTTAGGGCTTATAGGGTTTACAGTAGAACCCCAAAAGTTGGAAACCCAGTAGGATCAATCTTCAAGAGTAATGTATAGGGAATCCCAGCACTAATTGTCCGGTTTCGAAATTTTTTTCGGTTTACTATGGGATCCACAGCTTATACGGACCATGTGTAGTTCTCACGGCGATCGTACATGTAACCATTGAATCATTATATACCTGCCATGTTGCAGGCTTTGTGGCTGCAGGTAGTGTGCCAAACCCGGAACTTTTCCTGTTCCGGCTTAATTAGCGCCTTGGGTTTGGGTTGAGGATATAGGATGTACAACCCGGCCGTTTGGACCCACTTTGCACCGCGCTGTTAAGCGCATACGTAAGGCTACACGATTGCCAGGACCACTCATCTATTGACGCGCCGTCGAAAGAGGCAAGGACCTGTCTTCAACTTATGTCCGCTTAACATGGGGCTATTTGAGGTTCGCAGTGTTGGACGAGGGCATGATCGTGACTTGTCAGTTGCAATGGTCCTTACAGAACCGTTGTATTCAGCTTTTGTGTGTGGTTGCGTGAGCTCGAGACAGGCTCATGTGTGACGCTGAATCGAAAGCGTGCAGATGGATTGCCAGACATATGTTTACGTACATAATGTTTTAAGCCTCAATAATTAACAATATTATTCCTCGGGGCTCCTGATTATGGTATAAGATACCCCCCAAACCCTATTCTAATTATTGAGGCCTCTATGTTGCGTCATTTCGGAGCTCTTAACTAAGTCTTAAGGACAAGTCGGTCGACACTTTAGACGGCTGCCGGTGCGGAATGAGAAGACAACATATCGGTCTCTTCGATGCAAACTTTAGGCTTTGGGGCTCAGGGTTTAAGATCTATGGGTTTATGCGTTCAGGTCTCATCTTTCAGAAGCATCTGTCAAGTGAGGGATTTAGGCTCTATAATTAAGGGTGATGAGGTTTTGGGACAGCTACGTACGGGTTTTAACCCTGCCATATGTCATAGACAGGCATGTTTAGGGACGATAAGGCTCCATTCAAGTGTGCTTTGTGGTCTGTGCAGTGCTAAGGATTTGAGGTAAGGCTTGAATAACTACCCGTATCATTCCTCATGTTTCTTTTTATGGCTAGGCAGTAACAGACCCCCGAACCCTATTCTGAGTCTTACTACTGATCCCCTACTGTACCCCTTTCGGACTCCAGTTGTTAAGGCCTGTGTATTAGGAGTTTTTGCGCCTTAGTAGAAACCCCAAACCCTAAACCCTAGCCTCAGCCTAGGGTTTAGGGTTTAGGGTTAGGGTGTAGGGTGGTTTAGGGTTTAGGGTTAGCCCCCTTACCAGCACGCAAAATTCGTCGGCCAGGTGGTTGCCGGGCTGAGGAGAAAGGCGGCACTGGGCGTCAGGGTGGTGCTTTGAGGCTTCAGACGGTTTAGGGTTTAGGGTTTATGATTGAGGCCTGGCGTAGTTATCTTATACCATTTGGTTGGGGCTCCTTGAGAAGTTGAAGTAGGGTTTCGGGGTAGATCGTACTCTAAGCGTGTACGTCTATACACATATACATATGTGTTTGTTCATACTTGCACATGTATATATATATATATATATACATTCAAATACAGGTCTATATGTACATATATACACACATGCATATGCTGATGGTGACGATGATGATGATGATGATGATGATGATGATGACGGTGATTGTGATGGTGCTGACAGTGATGGTGATGGTAGTGATGGTGAAATCTATCCGCGTTATAGGGGGGTATCTTTACTTATTGTTAAACCCCCTGTGTTAGGCGTTTGGAGATTTCGGTCTATGTCTGGCTTTAGTATTACATCACCGGCACGTACTACCCGTCAATACAAGAGGCTGGCGACATGGCATGGTTTCCGACGGTTTTTGCACAAATCACTTGCAAACTTTTCAGCTTTGAAAGCTCTTCGGTTCCTCCACCTGCCTTATATTTTGCCTTAGTTGCCTACTTTGAGGCGGGACCATACATCCCTGTTTGAAGAAGTGTCCTGAAGTGTAACTATGATACCCTAAACCCTACACACCCAAACCCCTAAACCCTAAACCCTGATAGGACTACTTACGACTACCCTAAACCCTGCCTCCGATAAAACCGTAAAGCCCTTAATCCCAAAAAGCCTAAAGCCCTACGCCCTCAACCTGAAATCCCTAAAGCCCGAAGCCCTGAACCCGAAATCCTAAACAGCTTAAAGCCTGAAGCAATAAACCTTCAAATCCCTAAAGCCCTAAGCCCTACAACAAAAGAAAATTGGGAGTTCTGGAGACCTGTCCTAGCCTATGCAGGCCCTCCAGGTTTGCCCAGCGCTGTCCGATTGGCCGATGGCCGGGAGCTACGCAGGTCCTTGGGGTTTAGGGCCTAGGGGTTAGGGTTTAGGGTTTGTGGTTTAGGGTTTAGGGGTTTAGGGTTTAGGGTTTAGGGTTTGGGGTGGTGTATTGCTAACCTATGTAGAGGTCTGACTTGTTAAGGCCGCTATATTTCCGGATTCAGGGTTGGGGGAAGGTTTCGGATTGCGGGTTCGGGTTTTGGATGGCGGGATGTCTGAGGCAAAGCCATTGGGGAGTTGTAAAATTTTCCGAATAGTTGGGCCGACGGTGGTCTTCGAAAGCTGTCACGTTGTTCAGGAAATCCTACCTAATAAATTGGACCGTAGTTTAAAGAACCTCCATCCTAAACTACCTATGACCATGTGCAGCATACATCGAAACACTATTCTAGTCATTTGGGCCACGACATTTCTTTGAGGCCTTAGGGTCAGCATGAACAATAATGGTAATAGTAACAAAACACTAACATGAGTTGTACTACCAGTAGTAGTAGCAGTGGTAGTCGTAGTAGTAGTAGTAGTAGTAGTAGTAGTAGTAGTGGTAGGTAGGTGTAGTACGTGTAGTAGGTGTAGTAGGTGTAGTAGTAGAAGAAGAAGTAGTACGCAAAAAAAGTAATGAGAATAGTTCTACTGGTAAAGCCTACCGTAAACCCTAAACTCTTGACCCTAAACCCCAAACCCTAAACCTTTCAAGAAGCGCTTTCGAGGCCTACGACCTGCCCTGGAGCCGCAGCAATACGGCTCGGACTTCCTCGTGTGCCCTGCCTCAAACTCCGAGAACGAGGGTTTGCTTGAAGGTTTTGGGTTTTGGGTTTAGGGTTTGGGGTTTTGGGTTTTGGGTTTAGGGTTTAGGGCTTTGGGTTTTGGGCTTTGGGTTTAGGGTTTTGGGTTTGGGGTTTAGGGTTCCGGGCTTTGGGTGTAGGGCTTAGGGTTTAGGGTTTAGGGTTTTGGGTTTAGGATGTCAGGCTTTAGGGATTTATTGCCTTCAGGTTTAGGGGTTTAGTGTTTTCACGTTTGTTTTTGCAGGGTTCTCAGGTTTAGCTGGTGATCAGGATCGAGAGGCTAAGCTTGGCTAGAAGCACTTTACTCGGCATGATATGGGGGCTTCCGAAAATTAGGGGTACCCTATTTTAGGGGTCCTTATAAGAAGGAACCTATTATTTAGGGTACTCTATTAGGGTCCCCTATTTTTGGAAACCCCCATATTGGTAGCGTTGGTGACTTCGAAAATAACCTGGTGGTTTGGCTTGTTTACAACCCTAAACCCTTAGCCGCCCTCCTCAAGCCAAAGTATGTCTACATACAAAACGCGCCGCATAAGCATGTAGGATTTGGGAACGAGGCTTGGGAATCGGGTTTAGGGTCTATATGGACTCGGCGCCACCAAAACCTATCCCTAGAAGTTGTATATTCGGGTCTTGTAGCAACAATCCATGGAAAGGTAGTTCCGCTTAGGGAATCATTGTCTGGGCAGCTACTGTAAATTGTGGATTGAGGTCGCTAGCAGCAGATTCCAACACGAAAACGATTTCGGATTGAGGGTTTTGCGGGGCGTTGCAGGGGTTTAGTAAACCCTAAACCCTAAACCCTAAACCCTAAACCCTAAACCCTAAACCCTCCCGAAACTCTCCCAACTCCCGAAGCTCCCCCCATACTCTCCTGTGTCCCAACATCTGTCCCGAGTTGCGGCAACCCACACCGCCCCACCCAAAACCACTCATCACCGTCACCGGAGACATCCTTAGAGAATGAGTGGGCTTCAAGAACTGCTGACGAGCAGCCAACAGCCTTACGAAGGAACCTCCCCAGCTGCCCCCACCTTTCTACCTTACATGGTCCTCCCGAAGCATGTCCCCAAGAGGCCTGTACCATCTTACCAGTAAAGAGCACGGCATTTGGAAGTACTTGACATGTTCCTTGATTTACATGCCGATCCGAAAGGTTTAGGCTTTCAGGAAGCGAAGAGACCACCGCAAAGTGGAATCGTGCGAAAAACGGGTTCTTGTTCGTGAGGCCGCGTTGCTGGCTTGTTGATTTGAGCCTGTAGCGACTCTTAAACCAATGCACAGCTCTGTCAGACCTTTGGCAGCTCGCCTAATACACCCCCACGAACACCTTATTGTCCGAGGTTTGAAAAACCCCATGCAACCCCTAGAAAGATGTGCAGAATCTTCAGAAACCCAAATGCCTTGTAGTCCCTAACCACGCCCCACAACCGTAAACCCTTTCGATCCCGAGATACTATGGGGGGGGGGGGGGCCAAAGTAATTAGCAATATTATGTTGGGTGTTCCTTAACTTCGTATAATTAGCATAATATACCCCGAAACCCTTTTCTAATTATTAAGGCCCCTACATTAAGCCCTTATCCCTGAAACCCTAAACCCCTAAAGCCCTAAACCCTTCAACCCTAAAGCCTTTAACTCTACAACCCTAATACCTGAATATATTAGGTCTAAAGCCCAGCAGCCCGAAACCGAGGCGCAGCGATGACGACCTTGCATGGACCACCGTCGCCGGAGTGAGGATACCCTGAGTTAGGTCCAAGTACCCAATTAGCACCTATAAACCCTAAACCCTAAACCATAAAACCCAAACCCTAAACCCTAAACTCTAAAACCTAAACCCTAAACCGTTACGCAAATAAAGCAGCCATTCAGACTGTACTATTTGGGACCACAAACCTTCCTCTTCGGGGACGATAGGTACTTATATAAGCAGGGTTTGCACTTATATGGGTTGGGGATCAGCGTCTGGTTTAGGGTTTAAGGTCGAAGATCGATCAATGGATGCTTTAGGGCACTGTTCGGTAGTTGCATCCCCGCCTTCATCATCCTGTCGTCCGTTCACGCCGGCGACAGCGAAGCCATGAAACCCGTCATGCTGTGAGGACGTCTCTTAATAGATTAATTTGAATGGGGGTTTTGGTAGTTAGTCATAAGGAACACTCAGGAATAGGGTTGGATACCATTCAGCCCCCCCCATATTTGTTTGATGCTGTGGCATCTGGAGCTGATCATGCGCGTTTTGCGTAGGTTTTGCTGAGGTGACCCTCAGACCTGCACACGATACCCTGAAATGCACATGCAATCGACCTGTAAGTCAAAAACCTACATGTTTCTCGTGTTTTCCTATGATTTCCTTATATCTTTGTGGGCTTCAGGTGCGGTAGAAGCCGAAAAGTTGAAAGCCTAATAGCCTCAATCCTTGAGAGTAATGTATAGGGAGTCCCGGCACTAATTGTCCTTAATCCGGTTTCCAACGTTTTGGGGGTCCAACCCTAAATCCTAAAGCCTAAACCGTGGCGGTGAAGAATGCCTGAGGTGACAACCTAGTCTGATGACTTCTCGTGCGTGAGCAAAGGTCTGGTAAGAAACATAAAACCCAAATTCTAAGCCCTAAAACCCTAAGCCCTAAGCCCATTACCTAAAGCCTTAAACCCTTAACCCTAAAAGCCCTAAACCCTAAAACCCTAAACCCTAAGACCCTAAACCCTAAGCCCATTACCTAAAGCCTTCAACCCTGAACCCTAAAGCCCTAAGCCCTAAGACAAAAACGCCAGGAGTACCGGCCTGACTGCGTCCCTTGGCTTGGCTGAGCGCGTGCTTGCGAGGTAAGCCGGGCAGGAGGGGCGGTGGCTAAGTACTATACCAGGACCCCCCAATGGCCCTTTAATAGAGCCCTTAAGGGTCCCTAATAGTAGGCATTTGGGGGTATAATAGAGGTGGTCTAGGTATGGATCGGAGTCGGAATAGTTTGTATCACTATCCCTCAAGGATCCTTACTATCAATGTAGTTATCAATGTAGTAGTTGTAGACAAAGCTCACGACCAACTTATAATGCGATCCTGTGCCTGACGCAAGCGCACATCAACCCCGATAACCTTACTATAACTATCAAGGTCATCACCCCAAGGGTCCACATACCTAAGAATCCCATACTCTCCCAAAGATTAACCTGAAGAACTACGGTCCTAAACCCAAGTACCTAATGATTTCTGTAGGTCCTTGGGATCTCCAGGGCCCCTAAATCCAAAACCCAGAACCCCCGAAACCCCTGAAACCCCTGAAACCCTGAAACCTAAACCCTAAAGCCCTAAACCCTATAGACCCTTGGGATCCTAAATCCCAAAACCCAGAACCCTGGACCCTAAACCCTAAATCCTCAACCCTAAACCCTAAATCCCTAAATCCCTAAACCCTAAACCCTAAATCCTAAATCCAAGATCCAGAACCCTGGACCCTAAACCCTAAATCCTCAACCCTAAACCCTAAATCCCTAAATCCCTAAACCCTAAACCCTAAATCCAAGATCCAGAACCCTGGACCCTAAGTTCAGTTCAGGGGCTCGGGGTGCCGTCCAGTTCAGGGCAGGCAGGTTTGTGATCTACCACATAGGCGCTGTTGAGGGCTTCCTGGGGTTTAGGGTTTATAAAGGGCTTTGGGGGTTTAGGGTTTAGGGTTGTAGGGTTTTAGCGTTTCAGGGTTTAGGGTTTAGGGTTTTAGGGTTTTAGGGTTAGGGTTTTAGGGTTTAGGCTTGGGGGGGTTTAGGGTGCAGTGTCTTAGGGTTTAGGGTTGTAGAGTTTAGGGTTTAGGGTTTTGGGGTTAAGGGTTGTAGGGTTTGGGGTGCAGGTACCCATACACCCTAAAGGTCCAAATGCTCAAAAAGGCTTGAGGTATCAAAAAACCATTCAGAGTACATATTTGTTATTGAATCTCTCCGACTTGGATATTTGGACCATCTGGGATAGTAGTTTACTGGGTTATGTGGTCAAGTAAGAAAGTTTATATAGGGCTTGACCATTGAACAATGCCTGGATTGGGCCTCCAGGGTCAGATCAGAAATCGATCATTGAGGGTCCCATCACAGGATCACCGCCGGCTCCGCCTCATCCTAACCCTAAGCCCTAAATCGTAGTTCTACCGTATTGAACTACCAAGACCTGCTTTGTTGCAAGTAGGGCCCCGATAAACTCGATCAGGGTGTGCACAAAAATGGGGGGTTTCCGAAAATAGGGGACCCTAACATAGCGCTCTAAATAATAGGATCCTTATTAAAGGGACCCCAAAATAAGGTACCCCTTATATTCGGAAACTCCCAAATGTACAGTGAAGTAGGTCATGGTGATTCACCCTAAACCCTAAACCCTAAACCCTAAACACCCTAAACCCTAAACCCTAAACCCTTAGCTTAGCTTCTCTGACAGGCTCCGGCCGTCGCAGCCTCTTCCGCCGACTTCTTCACCCACGCTGCCAAGCCTCGCCGCCGGTGCCGCAAGGAGCCCCGAGCAGTAGCCTCTAAAATGCTCCAGGCTCTGAGGAGCCGGCTTTTGAAGGCTGTTGGGTTTAGCTTTTCGGGTTTAGGGTTTTTTTTGGGTTTGAGGGGTCTTAAACTTTTTTGGGGCTTTAGGGGGTTTAGGTTCAGGGTTCACCCATCGTGCAAGCTTGGTGGGCTATGTTGCCGGTGAGCCTCAAGGTCAGGGTTTAGGGTTTAGGGTTTAGGGTTTAGGGTGTTGCAAAGGCTTCAGTACCTTGGGACCGCAAGGCCCCCCGACCATAAGACTCGGAAGAATCATAGCCGAACTAGACAACTGCCGAAACTCCCCCTAAACCCTAAACCCTAAACCTAAACCCTTAAACCCTAAACCCTAAACCCTAAACCCTAAACCCTGAACCCAAAGCCCTATTCAAAGCTCATAGATCACCTAACCGCCTGTCCTGAATGGACCTCCATGCTAAACCTGAAACCCGAACCCTAGAACTACACCCGGTTCTCCAAACCTAAACTCTAGAAGCATTAGCAAGTCGTTTAGTATATCTACTTCATTATTGCAGAACTTATTTTCCAGGTTATCAACATCAACAGCGCCGCATGGTCCATGTACCCATATGGTATGCCCCTGCCCCAAACTACCTATATGGGAACTTGCTTTAAGGCCTAAACGTATATTCTGTATGGCACATGAAGCCTCTGGGTTTAGGGTTAGAGCTTCTAAGGCTGCTTTGGCTGAAGACTTCGCCGCCCGGCGCGATGGACGTGTGGAGGTGGCTGGGTGCAGACTTGTGGGGATGATTTTGAAATGGTCTCCTCTACATAAGCTCAATATGCCATAGACTGTCGCCTCCGATCTCGATTCATGTGCTTACACTTAGGCCCCATAGTACTTCCTTTTTGTGTCTTATATTTAGGACCCTATGAGGGAATCCCCAAAAGAAGCTACTATGGGGCCTCTGGGTAAGGCCCCGATCTTACGGGGATTGTACGGAAGGCGAACCCTGAGACCCGGTCCATTAGTTCAGCAGGGAGGGGTTCTGGAGAGTGTACCACAGCCAAAAGCTTACACCTCAGACCCTGAACCTTTGCTATACTATATTGTACTGTACCACACCTTTCTACTATAGGCTACTAACAATGACCATAATATATCATTGCACCGTAAACCTGAAGAAGGGGAGCTTGTAAACGCCATGTTTCCCTGCATGGGGTGGGGGTCCTTGCGTTTTTGAGGAGCCTGTGATCTTGGTCGACTTAAGATTCCATGAATTTCCGGAGCCAACTACTATAGGAGCCTGAATAATTAGTTTTGGGGGGGTCAGGGGTTATATTATACTATATTTTTTGAAGGGAACCCCCAGAGCCCTCTTCTAAATTATTAAGACCCCTACATTATGCGGGTTCCCTACTGAATTCCCTGGTTCACTGAGTGTCAGGATCCTACTATACTCAATCAAGAGTCTCCATTGTAGTGCCTTCTTTTGGGTTTGACCCGTTATATACTATGGACTATGGATCCTAGAAAGGTAACCCCAACAAGGAACTACAATGGAGACTATTGGAACGGTCCCTCATTCAGATGATTCAAGTTTAGCATATGTACTATGAACCCTAAACCATAGACCCTATCTTTGCTGTGCCATTCCCGAAGAAGTGTTGGACTTGCTCCCGAGGTCGCTGGCAGGTCTTGGTACGTATGGCACCCGCATCTTTGCGGCAGCTAGACCTAGTAGGGTTTAGGGTTTAGGGTTTAGGGTTTAGGGTTTAGGGTTTAGGGTTTAGGGGTTTAGGGTTTAAGGCTTACGGGTAGAGTAGGTGACCTTCAACCCTTTCGGGGTATTGTAACCCCTATATAATTCATTTTTTCCTCCCACTGGTGAACCTTTAGTTGACTAGGATACTCGACAAGTGAGTAGAGAGCTAGGGGTGCTTCTGCTTCAATTTCCTGGCTTTGGGGGGGCGCTTTTTCTCTTGTTGTCCAGGTGTTCGCCTGCGTTTTGCAGGTCATACCTGGACAGTTCAGGGTTTAGGGTTTCGGGTATCAAGACATCTGCCCGGGTGCTGATCCTGCCCGCAACTTCAACAAATATTGAGACGTTTGTTGTTTGGTTTCCTAGTGTCACTCCCAACCCCTTTGACGCGATTGGGTAATATTCGCAATCGGTTTATGGAAATCCTACTAGGCTTAGATACCATGGTTTCTAGACAGACGAAGGCCCTCACTGCTTGAACACTGAACCAGGAAATCCTGGAGTTAATGCGTTCCTGGGCATCCCTCTTGTGCCAGTCGCATCTACGATATACCCCACAGCTCCGCACTACGTCATTTCGCCCCCCTTCCACCTTTCGACACTAGAAAGCCCAAGCCAGATCCAATCCCTCCGAAGCTGTATCCCTAAGCTTCCACGTGCCCAAATAATTAATGTTTACTTTGGCCTTAAAGGGGTCCCTGAAAAGGTACTTTGTTGCCAAAGCATATACAATTCGGATACATGGACTCTACATTCCAGTCCCGTGCACCCTAAGCCCAAAACCCGTAAACTCTAAACCCTTAAAAACCCTAAATCCTAAACCCTAAACCTTAATCCATACTCTCAGGCAGCTGCTTGAAATTCTTTATGGCTGACGTGGGCTAAGGCAAACGCGCCTCGGTCTCGCTGTTTCTGGTGGCCTAGATTCCGTGCCGGCAGGCCTGAGGAACTGGGAAGCCCCTCAAAAACCCTAGTTTAGGGTTTAGGGTTTAGGGTTTAGGGTTTAGGGTCTAGGGTTTAGGGACCCTAAACCCTACACCCCTAAAGCCTAAACCCTATAAATCCTAAACCGGGGGTTTAGGGTTTTGGGTATTTTTGCATTTCAGCAGGGAGTCGGCACCTAATTCTGGCAAGTGATGCCTACTACTGCAGCAGCACAGCGGCTGGTAGACATAGCGCCGCTTGATGTTGTTCCAGACATCGAACTGTTGTGGAAGGCAGTGTCGAAGGGAATGATGGCGTTTTGGGGTTCAGGGTTCACACAAGCTCGCTTTATTTAATGAGCGGCACAGGTTCAAGGTGCAGGGTTCGGCGTTTCCTGAGCTCCATCTATGTGCCGGCAAAGTGGCAGAGTTGACGAACACAATTGCCATGTTCGAAGCACTCCGTCGCGCGCGATGCAGCTCGAAGTAGCTTCATTCAGGAATATCTCCGCTTGACGGAGCTTGAAACATAGCCATAGCTTCTATAGGGTCTAGGGGGTTTAGGGGGTTTGGGGGGTTTGGGGGGTTTGGGGGTTTAGGGTTTAGGCTTGAAGGGTTGTCGTCTCGGATGCTTCTGCCAGTCTTAAGACGGTGAGCGAGAGCTGGCACAGGAAAGTAGCACCGGAAAGTGTCCTGACTTTTCAGCAGCCATGGGAACGGGTGCATCTGTGGAACAAAGATTCCGCAAGCCAAATGCTCGCCGCGTTAACCTGTTCAACATCTTGACGGAGATCATGAAAGAAACGAAACGCGAGGAGGAAATCCCGGAAGACCACTGGGAGCTTTTGATGAAGGCGCTGGAGACTGAGGAGCAGGCAGAAGTGAAGCAGCTGAAGGAGGAAATCGAAAAGGAGCGTGCGAGCCGTGTGGCCCAAGAGCAGCTTGTGGAGAAGTTGAAGGCTGAACTGAAACAGAAGGAAGAGTTGCAAGAGGAGACGGAGTCCGAGCTTAAGAAGCTGAAAGCAGAACTGAAGCAGAAGGACGAGGCGTCGAATGAACAGCAAGAGTCCAAATCCGTCGATCAAGCCACTGAGGATCAAAAAGAGGCAGCAGACTGTGAAACCATTCACGATGCGGCCGGAAACTAGGTCCTTGTTATGCCTTTCCGTTCTGCCTTTCGTGAGGTTCGGGTTCAGGGTTACAGTTTCAACCCCTAGACCCTATAACCCTTAGGATTATAGAAGGGGTGACGAAGGAAAGAGCGTAGCCGCGGTGCGGCACTTCCTCCGGGAAGCCCCGACGGCAGTGAACAAGAAAGATGAGAACGATTCTGGGTTCTTGTTTAGGAAGTTAATCTAAGTTTACACGTTATTTATCATAGATCCCTAGTGTAGTAACCGAAAGAAAGTCTCTTAACAGATCCAAATACTGAACCCCAAACCTCTAAACCCTAAACCTCTAAGCCCTAAACCCTAAACCTCTAAAGCCCTAAACCCTAAACCTCTAAGCCCTAAACCCTAAACCTCTAAAGCCCTAAACCCCAAACCTCTAAAGCCCTAAACCCTAAACAATAAACCCTAACCCTCTTAGCCCTAAGCCCTAAACCCTAAACCTCAAAGCCCTAAGCCCTAAGCCCTAAACAATAAACCCCAACCCTCTAAGCCCTAAGCCCTAAACCCTAGACCTCAAAGTTCTAAGCCCTAAACCCAGGAGTCCAGACCGCTACATATTGCAGCCCGGCGAGGGTGCACAGAGGTGGTCCGGTTTCTACTTGAACAGCAAGCCGATGTCAATGCACGGAATCTGGGTCCTTTTTAGACTTCCTTAAAGGAGTCTATGTGGGTTTCTATAGGGTTTCTATAAGGGTACCATCTGGGTAGTTCTCTAGAGTAGGGCCCCTCTTTAGGTCCCCAATATTGTACGGCACCCTTACCCTGAGAGGGGGCCTAATTTAGAGAACTCCCCGTCTAGAGGCCCCGGTAGCACCCTTTTACCGTTTCTTATGTTGTGGTCTCCTGCTCAAACATACACAAAAAGATACGTTTTTTAAGGGGTTACTGGATAGCCGAGGAATAATTTCAAAAGCACTCCGCTGGATTGGGCAGCCTCGAAAAACAGGGCTGAGGAGATGAATCTCCTCCTGGCGGCGAAGGCCGTCCATAGTTTAGGGTTTAGGGTTTTGGGGCTTAGGGTCAAAATCCCACCGGGACCCCACGACACCCACCTTTTCAAAGACTTATGTGAGGAAAACAGTATAATGAACCTCAAACTCTATCAAACTCTGGGCTTCTTGGGGTCGTCCAGGTAGACCCTAAACCCAATTCCCTAAAACCTTATTGGTTTTGTCATGCTTAGTCCTTACCCTAAGGCTCAAAACAGCCCAAATGCCTTATAGAGCTTGGTCTTTGGGCCCAAAGCCTTAAAGCATGAGTCCTTAGAGCCTTTGGGTTAGAAGGCCAACATCATGGTCGTGGACAATCATGGGCGGACCCCGCTGCATGGCGCCGCGATTGTCGGCGGTAGCGAAGCAGTCAGGATCCTCGTGGAGGCTTTAGGGCAGCTTAGGGTGTTTAGGGTTTAGGGCGGTTAGGGTTTAGGGTTTAGGGTTTAGGGTTTAGGGTTTAGGGTTTAGAGTTTAGGGTTTAGGGTTTAGGGTTTAGGGTTTGGGGAGGGTGCTAAGAGGAATTTCGATATTTTGGTCATTTTCGTGTTGCTAGGCCTAGGGTTTTGATTTTCTCATTGCGCTCAAAACGCTACACCATACCTCTAGGAAAGGCCCTAAACCCTAAACGCCTAAACCCTACACTCCCCTGTGAGGCGGAGCGAAAAGCTTCATTCCTCGAGGCTAAGGACAACTCGGGACAGTCGCTAGGTACCGATTTGGGATAAGTATGGGGTAAGGGATTTTCGGGTTTGGGGGTTTAGGCTTTATGGATAAGATAAGTTTCAGATTTCTCTTAGTGTTTGCATTTGTTTCATATGATTATGAACTTCAAGCGTTCCTGTTTTGTTTATGTAGAACCCAAATTACAGATAAATTCATGGACTGTTGACAACGACACCTAGGACAGCCATGGGCTTTGCCAAAGCTGAGGGCCATGCGAAGGTGTGAGTTTTCGAAAATGTGAGTTCAGGGTCCAGGGTGTAAAATTTAGGGGCCTCAATACTTTCCAATGCTATTCTGGGGGTTTCCTCGTTAGAAGTATAGTATAAGGGGCCCCAAAACCCTATTCTAATTATTACGGCCCCTACATTAAGGTTTATGGGATCCCAACAAGATGAGTGAGGGGGTCGGACGAGTTCGTGATGTGTTCCTCAGGGTTCCTTAATCCAGGTATACTGCGGTGTACTGCGTTACACTGCACACCATGCAAAACCCTATCCTAAGTGCTAATATACTACAGCGATCGGGTCCATTAAGTACCCTACCTCCTAAACCCTAAAACCCCAAGCCCTAAACCCCAGAACCCCTAGCCCTTCCATGTACCCTGAACCCGAAACCCTAAAACCCTAAGCCCTAAACCCCAAACCCTAAACCAATGAACCCGGAACCCCGAAACCCTAAGCCCTAAACCCTAAACCCCTAGACCCTAAACCCATGCACCCTAAACCGTACCACCCTAAACCCTGAACGCCAGGGTAGCCCAGTGTGTTCTGAAACCTCCAGGTGCAGGTCATCCTCAAGGATGCAGGGGCGCGGAGATGAAATTTCCTCTGGGCCCTGCACCCAAGCCCTAAGCCATAGAAGCCCGTTTTAGGGTTTAGGGTCTAGGAGACTCCAAAACACGGGGGCTCCTTATTATGACTTACCCTACCTTGACCCTAAAGAACCCACCCTCTTTAGGGTTCCTGATGATGATTTCCTTATATTGGTCCTTATAGAAAGGTAGGTTATTTGGGGGTTAAGGTTAGCCATACAAGCCCTAAGCTCCTAAACCACCAGAGACCCCCAAAAAAAACAAGGGGGCTCCTTATTATGATTTAGAAGGTTTATGGCTTACCCATAGGCCCCATAGTACTTCCTTTTTGTGGCTTATATTTAGGATCCTATTAGGGAATCCCAAAAAGGAACTACTATGGGGCCTGTGGGTAGTCACTGGCTTTTGGCCTCTCTGGGCGTGTACCATAATACCATGCTGTATCACCTATGACCCTGAGTGCTCGCTGAAATGTGCGGGACAAAAGCAAGGATGGATGCATCAGAGGACTTGCTTGCGTTAGCGTCTAGGGACGACTGCATAGACCCCAAACACTAATTCGTATCATAAATGGGACTCACGAGCCCAGAACCCTGATAGATCAGGCCCTGGCATTCCTCGATCCTTGTCCGTGAAAGTAATTAAGCCGTTTACCAAGAGAGCCCAGTACCATATGAGCCGCATTGCCTGGAATCCCTGTTCTTTTTGAGCTATGTTGATTAGTTTGCGTGCTTCTTGGTTTCTCTGTGTGCATAGATTTTCCTACTACCTTGACCTACCGAAACCTAATTTTTTGTAGGGTCCCTGTAATTTCTATACTTGGGTTCATAATAAGACCCTACAAGAAAAGTGGGTTTTGGTAGGCTAAGGTACGGATAACAGGCCGTTTCTGCCTGGGATAGTAGAAGCTGTCAGCCACCATCGATCCACCATGGGTGTAGGGTATTTCGGTGTGAGAGTTTCGGATAGAGTAGGGTTCCGTAGTTTAGGGTTTAGGGTTTAGGGTGTAGACCCTAAACCCTGCAGCTCAAGCAACGAACCCTACAACCAGCCCTGCCGGCAAAGCATACACAGGTGACAAGCAACCATCCCCGTTCCGGCACACTACGCATTCCTAAACCCTGAACCCGAATCCCAAGTATGCCTAAACCCTGAATCCCGAACCCCAAACCTTAAACCCTAAACCCTAAACCCTAAACCCTAACCCCTGAACCCCAAACCCAGAACCCCAGAACCCCAATCCCTATTCGTATGGGGAGTCTAGAGGGCCGCTCTTATACCAGCCAGCACTTGTCATTGTTGCACGATCCAGGGTTGATGGGTTTAGGGTTTGACCGTCTAGTTTTGAGGGGTGTGTCTTTAACTGTGATTGTGTGTCTTTAACCTTGATTGCTATAGGTTAACCGTTGTGTTTTAGGGGGTTGTGTCTTCGATGTTATGGTTCACAGCTTCAAGATCTTAAACTCCCACAACCTACTGGTTTCGTAGTTTCTTATGGTAATCTCAGATATAGACTGTATAAGGTGCCCTACACAAAGTTGGGATTTGGTATGTAGTTCTGCCCGTAGACTTCAGCGTAAGGAGCCCTAAACCCTAAACCCCCCAAACCGATACCCTAAACCCTAAACCCCGAAACCCTGAAACCCTGAAACCCCAAAACCTAAACCCTAAACCCCTGAAGCCCCGAAACCCCGAAACCCTAAACCCTAAACCCTAAACCTGCTAAACCCCGAAACCCCTGAAACCCGAAACCCTAAACCCTAAACCCCTGAAACCCCGAAACTCCGAAACCCTAAACCCTAAACTTACTTAAACCCCTGAAAAACCGAAACCCTAAACCCTAGACCCTAAACCTAAACCCTAAACACCTAAACCCCTGAAACCCCGAAACCCCGAAACCCTAAACCCTAAACTTACTAAACCCCGAAGCCCCTGAAACCCCGAAACCCTAAACCCTAAACCCTAAACTCCGGAAACCCCGAAACCCCGAAACCCCGAAACCCCGAAACCCTAAACCCTAAACCCTAAACCCCGAAATTAAACCCTAAACCCTAAACCCCTAAACCCTAAACCCTAAACCCCTGAAACCCCTGAAACCCCGAAACCCTATAAACCCTAAACCCTAAACTTGCTAAACCCAAAGCCCTAAACTTACTAAACCCGAAAATCCCGAAACCCCTTCACATGCATGACCCGCAGGTCCTGCATCTCAGGGTCTCGGCTCTTGCGCCTGGCTCTAGGCCTCTTGGCACACGTCGAAGGTAGGGGCCTTAAGAATTACCTATACTTTTTGGGGGCTCCTTATTATTAGTATAGTATAAAGGGCCCCCAAACCCTATTCTAATAAATTAGCTTATTATTTTGGGGCGCTCCTTATTGTATAGGAGAAAGGGCCCCCAAATCCTATTCTAACAAAAAAGGCTCCTAAACAAACAAAAACCAGCCCAGAGACCCTAGTTTCAGGAATACACGGCAATTCCTACTGTGAAAGCAGGGCTACCTGTCAAAGGTACATGATGCACGCTAGCGGTTTTTATTTAACACAAATCTAGGCTAGGAATGACGACTTTTTGCGGTTTTCGAGGGTTCGAGGATGTTGGGAATCAGGGCGTTTAGGCTGAGGGTATTAGGGTTGCAGGCTAAAGCATAGGCATTCACCGTGAAGCCCGGACCGTAGATGCCGAAACCTACCCCGAACATCAGGCACGATCCCCAAAGCTGCCCGAACCCTAAGGGTCCAAGTGCCTAAAAACTAGTCTACTCTCCCAAATATTATAGTAACCTGCATAACTATTATCCGAAACCTAAGTACTTCACTATTTGGGTCCTTTGGACCCTTCGGGGAATCTATATATATATATATATATATGAGGGACTAGCGTTTAGGGTTTGCGGATTATGCATATATATATATATATATATGGAAAGCTCATCAAGGAGCCCAAAAAAATGTTAGGCTTTATAGAGCTCAAATGAACCTGAAAATCCGACTCTCAGTTCATCCGAGGTGCCTTGCGTCGGAGATGCCGATCGCTTCTCGAGAGAGCGGTGGAAGAAAAGGAGGGAGTTCATGATATTTAGGGCTTAGGGTTTAGCGTTTAGGGTTGGAGGCACTTGCAGGGTTTTGTTTGACAATGTTTTGGGGGGCCGGGGGGGGTTGTGCCTCCATAATCCGAATTCAGGAGTTTTGTCTATATTGTGGTGCAACATATGTACATATGTAGAATAACTACAGGGACTCATTACAAGGGGAGGTTCTAGTTTGCATTAGATCTCAGACGGCTTATGGCCAGGTCAAAGCTGAAAAAGCAGAAGACAAAGCTGCTGATGCACCAGGCGTCGGAGGGTTCAACATCAGAAGCTCAAGCTTCTCCGAAACGTGTTTTAGGATGTACCTTAAGAACCCAAAACCTACTTTTTTGTAGGGTCCCTATAAATCCCTTATTAGGGTTTATAATAAGAACCTACAAAAAAGTGGGTTTAGGTTCTTAAGGTAGGGTTGACCAGGATAACCTCCAAGCGCCCCTCAAAGAGCTCTCATATTCCATTCACAGGTAATCAGGGGCAGCCATACAGGGACAAGTTGGGGGTTCAGGGAGGGTTCAGGATTATTTAGGGTTCGCAGGGTTCTCAGAGATTCCATAAGTCCGAATCGGTGAATCATTAGACTACGAAAACCCGCTCGGGCTCGCCCAAAGCATTTCGCATGGACCCTTTGCACCTTGATGTCTCCAGGGCTGCCGGGCGTGTAAAGCTTTTGCATTTGTGACGTTCGGGTATGGTTTCAGAATTTTGGGGCGTTTAAAGGAGGGTTGTAAGGTGCTTCCCTTTTATACACTGTCACGACTAAACATATTAGCCTAGCATCATCACAACGGCGGCAACATGAGCACTGATTCAGCCAAAAGATGTGGCAGCTTCCTACACTCAACCTGAAGCCATGGGTTTATAATTTGCCCTCATTCAAGAACCCTTTAAGCCCAAAAAACCAGTAACCCGGGAAAAGGAACTTATGGTCACCCGTATAGATCCCTGAAGGGAACCGAACATCCCTTATGATGGCTTATAGGTCGGCAGACATCTTAACCCTCTGAGCGTCGCCATTCTGTTGATGGACAAAATCCTGCATGACCCAAAATATAGTATAGTACCATAAATCCCATAGTTTAGGTATATAAGGTCATGCAGGATTTTGTCCATCAGCCGTTTCGCCATGAAAAGGTGATCGAGAAGCAGAAGTTGGAGAGAGTTCTCAAGGTGCCTCGGGGCCTGAATTTCCAGCCCCCAAACTCGGTGTAGGGCTTCGGGCTACTAGGGTTTAGGGTCCTTTTTTTTTTGCCTCGGCCGTAACCCTGAACTGTAATCCCCTTCAACCGCAAGCCGAAACCCAACAACTGTGTCGGCAGCGAGTTCCCCAAAGTAGGCTGGACAGCAGAACAGAAATGCCCCCCCTCTTGCAATAGGGGTTTAAGCGGGGATCTTGTTCACTTGGCACGGCTTGGACCCGTAAGAACCTTTCTTTGTAGGGTTGCTCATGATGATTTCCTTGCATAGGTCCTCAGGAACCTTTCTTTTTAGGGTTGCTCATTATGATTTCCTTACATAGGTCCTTAAAAAGGCAGGTTCTTTGGGGCCTAGGGAAGCGTTGAGCGGTTGTTTTTCTGCAAAGCACGGCATCTTCCGAGATAGCTTGCATTCTTTTGTGTTGTTCGTAATATAACGCGGTTTAGGGCTTAGGGTTTAGGGTTTAGGGAGATTTTCGGGATATACTATACTATAGTGACTATAATTGCGGTAAGGAGCCCCCAAAAGCCTATTGTAACTATTTCTGAAGGCCCCTGCACTAGGTTTTGGCTGTTGGGTTCTCGATTGGATGTAGGATATCGCCCTGACTTACACCAAAGGGTAATATAGCAGCCTAAACAACTAGCAACATTATTCCTTGGGGTTCCCTATTGAGCTTGGAGATACAATCTGCCCGTAAACCGTATTCTGTTTAGGGACCCTTTATTTTTGGCCTTCCAAAGCCAGGTCTGCAGGAGTGGGGCTTTAGGGTGTAGGGTTTATAGGGTTTAGGGAACGAAACAATATGCGTATAAGCAGGGTCATTGCAACGTGCCTTATGTTCATCAGCCTTGGCCAATCTCCAAAACGAAGGTTTTGAGTGCTTTCGGGGAGGGCGGGGGGGGACGGGGGGTTGGCAAAGCGGAAACCCGAGAGCTATAAGCGCAGCAAGCCCAATAATCCCAAAACCCATCCCAAAGAAGGACGTATACACCCTAAACCCTATACCCAAACCCTGAACCCTAAACCCTAAACCCTAAACCCTAAACCCTAAACCTTAAATCCTAAACCTTAAACCCTATACCCAAAAACCCTGAGAACCCTAAGCCCGACGCCCCAAACCCTGAACCCCTCAACCCTGAAGACCCGAAGACCCCACCCCTTATAAACCCTAAGCCCTATAGAACTAAATCTCCGAATTTCGTCGTCTACCCTCCAGACTTCAGAGATTTAGGGTTTACGGGTTTAGGGTCTAGGGTTCAAGTTTAGGGTTCAAGTTTAGGGTTTAGGATTTAGGGGTTTAGGGTTCAGGGTTTAGGGTGCCTCTTGTGCAACAGGACATCATGCAGCTCGAGGCAGAGAAGAACCAAGAGGCGCTGCAAAGATCGGGTTTAGGGTTCAGGGTTCCCCGTTCCCTAAACCCTAAACCCTAAACCCTAAACCCTGAACCCGGACGCTTCCACCGTAGCAGCTAAAGCTTCGGTCACATATGTCTGGACTTGTTCAAAAGCTCAAGGACGAGAGGTTCCGGAATAAGTGACAAGAGTGGTTCCTTTGGGGGCTTCAAAAAACATGAACACTCGAATTACTTCCACTATAAAGCCCCCCCCCCCTCCGAGAATCTGGGCGAAGTGCTCCGTCCGTCCCGTGATATTCGGCTTGAGACAGCTTCAACATTCGTCCCTAAGCCCTAAACCCTTAAACATCGAAACCGTGAACCCCTAAAGCCTTAAACCCCTAAACCCTAAGCCCCGAAACCCTGAACCCCTAAACCCTGAACCGGCTCGGGATCGCGGTCAAACAATTGGAGATCAGATCCAGTCTTCCATTTAGCGCTTTGGTTCCTTATTATACTTATAATATAGTATAATATACCCCCAAACCCTATTCTTTAGGAGTTTTAGGGTTTCCCTGATGATCCTACTAAACATTTCAGGCCGGAGCTCAAGACAGGATCCAGAGCTCAGTATAGGGTTTAGGGTTTAGGGCAAGTTTAGGGTTTAGGGTTTAGGGTTTAGGGTTTAGGGTTTAGAGGCAGACAGACCCCTGACAACAGACCGCCGCCCTCTCTCTGAGGGCCAGAATGCTAGGTTTAGGGTTTAGGGTTTAGGGTTTAGGGTTTAGGGTTTAGGGTAGAATCGTTATGCAAGGGCGGGTTCTTAATCAGCGCTCAGCATTGGATCATGGCTATTCTCCTTGAGAATCCCGTCTATAGATGTGTGTGTGTGTGAACCTCTAAACCCAAAGCCCTAGGAAGGTATTGGGGTCAAGCCTGGGTCCCCTAAAACCTAAACGACCTGAACCACCAAAACCACCCTTCGCCGCTACCCGCCTCCATCTTAAGCCGAACCCCTGAGCTGCAAACGTTCAATCCCACACTATAGGGGCTTCAATAACTACCTACACTGTTTCGGGGATTCATCATTATAGTTATATGAGTCTACCACACCCCAAAACCCTATTCCAATTATTAAGGCCCCTACATCACTCGGATTCCCAGTCCCTGAACCCCTAGCATGACCTCAGAGCCAACCTTAACGGAGGCGGGGATGACCGAGGGTCTACAACCCGATGTGTTTGATCCCGAAAATCTGCATCCACTATACCTCTAAAGCCCTAGACCTAGCCCCCCAAAACATGAAACCCTCCTAAACCCTAAACCCTCACTCGAATCTCAATCGCGAGAAGCCCAGGGAGACGTGGATCCCGAAGCCGTGAAAGCAAAGGCTCAGGACGCCCTGAAGGCACGGAGGTGAAAAACGGACCCTAGGGGCGCATGGACCTCTGTACAAGTTGTATATTAATCTGTATATATATATATATATACATATGCGTACATACATATATATATATATATATGCTCATATATATATATATATAGTATAGAGCCGACCTTAAAGTACCTCAATAAGGATCCCGAAATAAGGTCAAAGTGGAAACTCAATAGGTACATGGACCCTTATGGAGAGTTTTGGGGGTGAAGGGTCGGTCGAGGGTCTGGCTTTTAGCTTTCGGGCCAGCTTTAGGGTCATAACTTCAGGTTTAGGGTTTTGGGTTTAGGGTTTAGGGTTTTGGGGTTTTGGGGTTTAGGGGTTTAGGGTTTTAAGTTTAGGGTTTTGGGGTTTAGGGTTTTGGGTTTTGGGTTTAGGTTGATTGTTTCTTTGGATTCGTGTGCAGACTTTAGGGCGTCGCGGGGCAAGTTTCGAGGATTTGGCAGGGATGTTAGAGAACTCGAGATTCTGATCATTCTACGCTACAGGACGCGGAGGCTTGCAATGCAGCTTTCATGTTTGCTTCATGACACGGCACCAACCTTGCAATACACCAGAAAAGTGAAGCGCATCGAGAGGATATGCAGCACTTCACTTGTCACAGGCACCGTAGGTCCGCCCAACAATCAACAACCCTAACTAAAATCGAAACCAAAAGCCCTCTACATGACGACCTGATGAGCAGTGTTCGCTGCGAAGTGTTTGCTTTGGAGAGTACTTGTGAGGCTCTTGACTAATCCCCTTGCACCCTATCCATAAGCCCCATAGTAGTTCCTTCTTGGGATTCTCTAATAGGATCCTAAATATATGCCGCAAAAAGGAACTACTATGGGGCCGATGGGTGTAAACCCTAAACCCTAAACCCTGAATCCAGTGTGCGTGGCCTTGAAGATGCACTGCATCGAGACTAGGCCGCCGATCTCACCATGCAGAGGAACATGACGACTGCTGTGGTCAGGACCCTAGAAATTAAGGGACTGGGATTTTAGGGTTTAGGGTTCCGGGGCAGGGCTTGCCATTTTGGTTCGGGCTTTGTTGCGGAGGGACCGCAAAAACCTAGCAAGCCAAGTGAGATCTTCCTTGCGTAAGTAAGGAGGTCTGGAGTGTTTGGCTCAGGGTTCCCAGAGCAAGTGATCGTTACCGTTGTCATGCTGGAGTTTCTTCTCCTGTTTTCATGGGATGCCCCCGTTCGCCGTTTTGAGAGTTGTTTGGAAGGTTGGATAGAAGTTCTCTAGGGTACCCATAGGCCCCATGGTAGTTCCTTTTTGTGGCTTATATTTAGGATCCTATTCGGGAATCCCAAAAGGAACTACTATGGGGCCTATGGGTAGCCGCCCGTAACTCGCTGTAATGGTCTCAATCGATTATTGTTGTCTGTAGTTTCACAGCGCGCCACGCCCAAGGCCCTGGTCGAGTCATGTCGGCTCCAATCCAGCACGTGACGAGTAAAGCTTGCACAAGCTATGCAAGCGATCTACCAACCTCTATGCCCTACCTGGACCCTAAAGACCCTACCTTTCTTGGGCTCCTTATCATGTTTTCCTTAAAGAAGTCCTATTAAAAAAGTGATGATTCTTTTAGGGTCTAGGTAAAGCCTTTCAGCCCGACCCTGAGCCCTGAACCTTGAACCCTACGTCTTACTGAGGCGTACATGATGCCCATGGTGGTGCAGCCGCGTCCCCCAAGAGCTTGGTTTTTTTGTTGTTGTTATGGAAAAGGGCGTGGGGCTGAGGTAACACCCGAATATTAAAAGAGCCCTAGTTGGGCCCATCTGATGGGGATCCTGGTGAGTTGGATAGCTAGATACATCGAAATCATTCGCATCAATGTGCGGTTCCTCGCCGCGGATACGGCAGGGTTCGAACACTCAAAAGTACATGAACAGGCAGTTCAAAAGGCAGTTCGCTTCTTTGGCCGTATTGGGGCTAGGAAGTTTCGCTTTGATTCCAGTAGTTCACC